CAGCTGGTAAAGAATCCACCTGCAATGTGGGAGACCTGGGTTTGATCCTTGGGTTGGGAAGATCCCCTGGAGAAGGGAAAGGCTACCCACTCCAGTATTCTGGCCTGGAGAATTCCATGGACTGTATAATCCATAGGGTTGCCAAGAGTCGGACACAACTGAGCAACTTTCAGTCACTTGATGAATTGACCCCTTTATTATTATATAATGACTTTATCTATTATTGTTTTCAGCTTAAAGTCTATTTTCTCCAATACAAGTAAGAGTATCTCACTTGTATTCACTCTCTTTTGTTTTCTATTTGCATGGACTATTTTTTTCTGCATCCCTTTACTTTGAGCCTATGAGTGAACTTACAGCTGAAAGTGAGTATCTTGCAGGCAGCTTATAGTTGAATTTTTTAAATCCTTCCAGTACATTTTGACTGAAGAATTCTATATGTTTACCTTTAGGGTAATTATTGATAGGTAAGGACTTACTGATACCATCTTATTGATTGCTTTCTGGCTGTTTTGCAGTTCCCTTTTTTTCTTGCTCCCTTCCTTTGTGAATTGGTTATTTTCTGCGGTGGTATGCTCTTGATTTTCTTCTCTTTATCTTTTGTGAATCTACTGTAAGTTTTTGTGCTTTATGGTTACCTCAAGGCTTACATAAAACCTCTTGTAGATGTTATCAGTCTGTTTTATACTGCGAGCAACTTAGTTTCACTAACATGCAAAAACTCTACCCATTTACTTCTCACCTACTTACACTTTTAATGTTAGATTTTACCTCTTTTGGTATTGTATATTTATTAAGAAATTATAGTAACTGTGTAGTTATTTTTAATGTTCTTGTCATTTAACCTTTATACTATAGTTAAGTGGCCAACACACTATCATATTACAGTATGAGAGTTTTCTGAATTTGACTATTTATTCACTCTTCACCTATGTGTTCTATGTATTTGTATGTTTTCATATTACTAATTAGCACCTTTTCATTTCAGCTTGAAGAACTCCTTCTAGCATTTCTCATAAGGAAGATCTATCGGTGATAAACTCCCTCAGTTTTTGTTTGTCTGGTGAAGTCTGTCTTTTCTAAATGGTGTTTTGTAAACATTTTGTGTGATTATATTATTTATTTATTGGGCTGCACTGGGCCTTTGTTGGTGTGTGTGGGCTTTCTCTAGTTGCAGCCAGCAGGAGCTACTGTTTGTTGAAGTGTGCAGGCTTCTCATTGCAGTGTTTCTCTTTTTGTGGCACTCGGGCTTAGGAGTTGTGGCACATGGACTTAGTTATTCCACAGCATGCGGGATCCTCCTGGACTAGGGACTGAACCCATGTTCCCTGCATTGGCAGGTGGATTCTTAACTGCTGGACCACCAGAGAAATCCCATCTGGTAAAGTCTTTTTTTTTTACCTTTTTGTTGTAAACTATGTTTTTGCTAATTTTTAAAATTTTCTCATTGAAGGATAATTGCTTTACAGAATTTTGTTGTTTTCTGTCAAACCATCTGGTAAAGTCTTTGTTGTTGTTTAGTTGCTTAGTCATGTCCAACTCTTTGCCGCCCCATGGACTGTAGCCTGCCAGGCTCCTCTGTCCGTGGGATTTTCTGGGCAAGAATACTGGAATGGAGTGCCATTTTCTTCTCCAGAGGATCTTTCTGACCCAGGGATCATACCCACATCTCCTGCATTGCAGACAGATTTTTTACTGCTGCACTACCAGGGAAGCCCAGAGTCTTTGTTTCTTCTTAATAAAGGACAACTTCGTCAGATAGAGAATTCTCAATATGTAATTGACATCTAATTCTTGAGTATATCATCCAACTCTTTCCTGGCCTATAGGATTGCTGCTAAGAAATCCACTGCTAGCCTAATAGGAGCAGCTTTGTAGTTTACAGTCTTCTTTTTTCTTGCTGATTTTAGGGTTCTGTCCTTGTCTTATATTTTTGGCAGCTTTATTATAATGTGTCTTGGAGAAGATCATTTCAGACTGAAGTAATAGGGTGATCTAATAGCTTTGTGAAGTTGAATGTGCAAATTTCTCCCAGGTTTGGGAAAGTTTTAGCCATCGTTTCTTCAAATAGTTTTTCTGTCTGTGTCTCCCTCTCTTCCCCTTCTGGAACTCTGATGATTCAGATTTTGTTTCTTTTGATGGTGCTCTGTTGTTGCACACACATTTGTGATTAGCATATTTTCTTGAAGAAATAACCCTTTTATCATTATGTAATAGCCCTATTTATCCCTTGTAACATAGCTTGTTCTGAAGTCTACTTTATCTAATATTAACATAGCTACTCCAGCTTTGTTTTGATTAGAATTTGCTAGATGGTACACTTTTTTCAATTCTTTTACCTTTAGAGATCTATATTATTATATTTAATATCTAACAATAATATAGATATTTAGAGATTTTTATTATTACATTTAACATTCTATTTGGAGATAGAACATAGTTTTGTCTTTCTTATAAACCAATTTGACAATCTCTTTTAGTAGGTGTGTCTAGACTATTCACATTTAATGTAATTATTAACATTGTTGAACTTGGGTCCACTATTTTATTATTTCTATTTGTAACCTATTTTTTTTTTTTACTCTTCTGTTTCATTTTTCTTGCCTTCTCTTCACTTATTTCTAATGTTTTAAAATATTCCAAGTTTATTACCTGATAGCTTTTGACTATATCTTTTCACAGTATTTTTTGGTGTTGGTATCTGGGTTACAACATACAGACCTTACAGTTAAAAAGCTCAGCAGAATTAAAAGTTTGCAACTTCAAGTAAAATGCAGAAGCCTTACAACCATATAGGTCACTTTCCCTATAATTGTCGTATGTATTACATCTACATAATCTAACAATGTTATAATTTTTGCTTCTAATTGTCCTACATATCTTAAAGAACTTGTGAGGTGTAAAATAAGCTACTGTATTTACCAAAATGTTTACCATTTCTGTTGCCCTTTCTTCTGTTCTCTTGTTATTCCTGAAGTTCCAAATGTCCCTGTGGAATTTCACATTAGGCTGAAGAACTTCCATTAGCAGTTCTTTTAGGACAGGTTTACTGGTGATACATTTTCTCATTTTTCTTTCATCTGAAAATATTTATATTTTGCTTTCATTGCTGAAGGATATTTTACTGCTGTAGAACCCTGGATTGACAGGACTTTTCACAGCACTTTCCAGATGTTTCTCCCACTGTCTGTTGGCCTTTATGGTTTCTAATAAGAAATGTGCCAACATCTGAATCATCCTTCCCCTCATTGTGATGTTACTTTTTTCTGATTGCTTTCAAGATTTTTTTCTTCATCTTTGCTTTACAGCAGTTTGATGATGCTGTATTTGTGGTGGTTTTTCTTTAAGTTATTCTCTTTGGCATTTGCTGAGCTTCTTGAATCTGTAAATCTGTGTCTTTTGCCGTACATACGTGAGAAGTTTTCAGCTAATTTTTTCTCTGTTTTTTCCTTTACCAATTTCTTTTCCTTCTCTGGTATTCTAATGGCATGAATGTTAGACCTTTTGATATTTTATAAGTCATTGAGTTTCTGCTTTGTTCTGTTATTAAGATTTGATAATTTTTATTGCACCTTCTTCAAGTTCATTGACTTTTTTTCCCCCTCCCATCTGCATTCTGCTGTTAAGACCATGCAGTGAAATTTTTATTTCAGATATTCTATGATTTAATTCAGTGACCACATATGGGAGGTGGTAGTGAGAGAATGAGGTGTCTAAAATCACACCTAGGTTTTAGCTTGGGTAGTGGGGTAGTTGTTGGTAGCTCTTACCAAGGAATAAGAACAATGAGGAAAATAATGCAATTGGAGATGTGAATTTAAGCTGCAAGTGGTGACATAGTAGGCGTCTGTAGTTCCCTAGAGTTTGCATTTCTGGGTAGAAGTCAGGGTTAGTGATAAAGTTAGTGTGGTTTAAATCAGTGATTTTCAAATTATCGATTGCAATAGCTTATATCATGGCATCAATTTTGTGGGTTATAACCAGCATTTTAAAAATGGACTGCAGTTTTAAAAGTCAGAGTAAATGATATTGAACAAAACCTGTGGTTTAGTATGTGTGTGCATATGCATGTGCATGTGTTAATTTATTAGACTGGGATGTGAATGTGTTTCTAACTGTGATGTTTCCAAAAATGTTTGAAAACCATTAGTTTAAATCATAATGATGTTTACAAGGCAGCATATGAATAAAAGACCTATGGTTGAACCTAATGGTTTCTAATAATCTAACTCTCATGTTCTCAGATAAGTTTAAAATATAGACCTAAAGTTTTTATAATTATAATTTTTTTGGCCACACCATGTGGCATGTGGGATCTTAGTTCCCCAATCAGGGAATGAACCCATGCCTTCTGCAGTAGGAGTGCAAATTCTTAACCACTGGACCTAAGCCCTAAATTTTTGTAATTCCTATTCTTTACTATTGAATCATTTACAGCAAATATTTTCACTAAAGCTGATCTACTTAGAGTGAGGGAAATTCCTTAGACTTTATTGGGTATTTACTTTCCCAATACTATAATCTTCTAGAATACTCATCACTTAATTACACCTATTAGTACCCTTTAAAATGTTTACAGAAAAGCAGACTACCTGAAACTAATGCCAGTTTAGCTTTGCAGGCTGGAATCTGTTCTGAATAGTGGTCTGGAAGGAACTTTGGATTTAGAGGGAAAAGGTTGGGAACAATTTGAACATAAAAACTATTTTCTCATGAGTTCCATTTTAATGTTGAATAAATTCACAATTTCTGTTTTTCCTTTGTATCTTCTTAGAAGGTCATTTGTCATTTTGAGAAGGAACGCTCTGCAGGGTTTCAGCGTTGCTATCATGGCCGCTGCCTCTCCTCTGAGGAAACTGGAGGACGAGGTGCTGTGTTCTATCTGTCTTGACTACTTGAAAGACCCCGTTACCGTCGACTGTGGTCATGTCTTCTGCTATCACTGCATCATTAAGGTCTGTGAATCTGCTCAGCAGCCATTATATTGTTCTCTCTGCAAGACAGCCTTTAAGAAAGAGAATATCCGCCATGTGTGGCAGATGGCCAGCATAGTGGAGACATCTGGAGGATGAAAGTAGATGAGGAGAGACAACCCAGAGAGGACAGACCGCTCGAGCAGAGAGCGGAGAAGCTGCGCGGGCAGCATTTGGAGAAGCTGTGTTACCACTGCAAGGACGACCGGCAGATCCTGTGTGTCGTGTGTCGGGCGTCCCGGGAGCACAGGCACCACGCTGCTCTTCTGCTGGAGCACGCTGCCCAGTCTTATCGGGTAAGAAGCTTGCTGAACCCAGCTCTGTTCTTGGAGCCAAAAAAGTTCTATTGTACCTTCAGGATAAGGTCCAAAATTTGTTTAATAAACACTTTATTGAGGTATGATTGACACATAAAAAGCTGCCCATATATTTACTGTATGCAACTTGATGAGTTTGGGGATAAATACGTCACTACCATCAAGGCCAGAGACATATTCATCACCTCCCAAAGTTTCCTCCCACCTGATTTATTATTGTCTTACTGTGTGTGAGAAAGAGAGAACACTTAGCGTAAGATCTGTCCTGTTAGCAGATGTTAACTATACAACACAGTATTGTTATCTGTAAGCACTATGGTTAAGCACTATGGTGTAGACTAGATCTTCAGAACTTATCTTGCATAACTGAAACTTTTACCCTTTGACCATCACCTCCCCTTTACCCTCCCCTCCAGCTGCAGGCCACCACCATTCTACTCTGCTTCCAAGAGTTTTAGATTCCTCATACAAGTGAGATGATATAGTATTTGTCTTTTGTGCCTGGCTTATTTCACCTTGCATAGTGTCCTCCAGGTCCATCTGTGTGGTTGCAAATGGCAGGATTTTCTTCTTTTTTTAAGGCTGAGTAAGATTCCATTGTATGTATGTACCACACTGTCTGTATCCATTCATCCATTGAACATTAGGTTGTTTCCAAAGCTTGGCTGTTGAGGATAATGCTGCAATAAACATGGGAGTGCAGATGTCTCTTTGAGATCCTGATTTCAGTTCCTTTAGAGTAATACCTAGAAATAGGATTGCTGGATCATATGGTAGTTCTATTTTTAATTTTTTGAGAAGCATCTATTGTGTTTTCCATGACTGTGCCAGTTTCCATTCTCATTAGTAGTGTACCAGGGTTTCCTTTTCTTCACATCTTCACCAATACTTGTTATCTTTCATTTTTTTAAATAATAGCCATTCTAACAATTGTAAGGGGAAGGTTCAAATTCTATAGCATGGTAAGTTCTTGTCAACATGGATTCTTTTAATTTGAATAATAAAACTGGTTTGTTTTCATATATTTTATAATAGCAAACCCATCCCATTGCCTTGATGTTTTAGTTTCCGAAGCATCTGATCAAGCCTCAACCAGCAATATGGAATACTAATGCTCTTGATAGCCATCTTGATACTTAGCTTCAAAGTGTGTGCTTCATATGTATTATAAAAATATTTGTGAGAATATTGCATCTTGTATGAATTTCCTTTCAGAATTTAATCTCAGGGAAAACATTTTTTTTCTGACATACCAGTATTTTTCCTCCTGTCTGCTAAAGGATTACATGAATCACTATTTCCCTTTTGTCTTTGGTTAACAGGACTCTTAAAATTGATTTAGTCATTCCCTCAGTAATTTGGACTTAGTGTATATATTTTCCTTCATTATTTTGTGTTGATTTCCTTTTTTATTTCCATGTTATCAATTAATTTTAATATAAATTATCTATATTTGTGGTGGAAAGAAACAGTGTAAATATAAAAACTACACTATACGTCTTAGTAGTTGTAATGATAATAAATTTTATCTCACTTATTTTTCTCCCAGTTTTATTGAGATGTAATTGACATACAGTACAGTATAAGTTTAACATGCATTTTATCTCACTTCTGAGAAGCTACTCTAAGCTAACATAGCACTCACTTTGTTTCTTCATCATTAAATAGGATGAAAACTATTCCAACCTAGTTATCTTATAACACTACATAAGATCAAGACTATCTGATTTCACTCTGAAATCATTTTGCAGGTGTCTTTTCTTATTGAAGGAATTTTCATCTTCATCTTGAGATTATTCATGGTTTTTTTTTTTCCCCCATAGGATAGAATTCTAAACCATCTGAAGATTCTGAAGGGAGACCGCGACAGGATTCAGAATTTTCAATCTACAGGAGAAGATGAGATTCAGGCCCTGCTGGTACGAGAAGTTTCGGGTGAATATTCTGTGTACCTGTGTTGGGTGGGGGAGAGAGAGAGTGGTGTGTGTGTGTGTGTGTGTGTGTATGTAGGTTGAGGGGAGGGGGCATAATGAGGGATGAGGAGAAAGTAGGTGTGATAGAAGGGATTCTTGTTATGAACTTATCCTCAGATCTCACAAATGTTTCCAGTCTCTCAGGAGAAATCCTCTTTGTTTTTCTGCCTTTACTGTAGGCAAAATTCCAGAACCACAAGCAAGACATAGCATCAGTGTTTGAGCAGGACTATCAGTTCCTGAGAGAAAGGGAGCAGTACCTGTTGGAGTGGCTGGAGGGAATGGAGCAACACCTTTCTGAAGGAAGGAACAGCCATGTCACCAAGGGCTCTGAGGAGGTCATCCAGCTGGAGACCCTGATTTCTGAGCTAGAGAAGAAAGCTCGGCAGCCAGCACTTGAACTTTTGCAGGTGATGGACCAGTTAAATTGTACCCAAGTCCTCTTGCTCCAGGCTGCAGTCTGGCCCCTCCATTAGCATGAGATCTGGACCAGGAGTCAGGAGAGACAAGGTTTTGTTCTCCTTTGTTGAGTTCATTGACAAGTTAATTAGCAAACCAATAGGTTGTAAGTCCCAAATCACAGTGGGCAGGAGACTGCAATATGCACAGATATGCAATATGCACTGAGATAGTAAGATCTATCAGTCAATTTAGTTCAGTTACTCAGTCATGTCCAACTCTTTGCAACCCCATGGACTGCAGCACGCCAGGCTTCCCTGTCCATCACCAACTCCCGGAGCTTGTTCAAACTCATGTCCATTGAGTTGGTCGTGCCATCCAACCATCTCATCCTCTGTTGTCCCCTTCTCCTCCTGCCTTCAATCTTTCCCAGCATCAGGGGCTTTTCCAATGAGTCAGTTCTTTGCATCAGGTGGTCAGAGTATTAGAGCTTCAGCTTCAGGGTCAGTCCTTCCAATGAATGTTCAGGACTAATCTCCTTTAGGATGAACTGGTTTGATCTCCTTGCAGTCCAAGGGACCCTCAAGAGTCTTCTCTAACACCACAGTTCAAAGCATCAATTCTTTGACGCTCAACTCTCTTTATAGTCCAACTCTCACATCCATACATGTACATTTATAATTATAAGAAATAATTGAGTGTTAAATCTTATAATCAGACTGGAAGCCACAGGAATTCTGGAAAAGGCTAGTCAGGAAAAGCTTCATGGACAAAGCAGCTTGTAATGGTAGCCTTGAGGAAAATGTAAAGATTTGGGTTAGCAGGAAAGAGGAGTTGAACATTCCATTTGTGGAGGTGCATTGGTTAAAATGAAACACATGAATGTGATAATAATGAGTGTGATAATAAAAAGGTGGGTGTGGGTGCAGCATGCATGTCAGTCCTATCCGACTCTCTGCGACCCCAGGGGCTGTAGCCCACCAGTCTCCTCTGTTCATGGGGTTTTCCAGGCAAGAATACTAGAGTGGGTTAGCCATTTCCTCCTCCAGGGGATCTTCCTGACCCAGGGATCGAACCTGAGTCTCCTGCGGCTGTTACACTGACGAGAGGATTCTCTACCATTGAGCCACCTGGGAAGCCTGCAGGTGCTGAGGAAGAGAGTTTGGAAGATAGGAAGGATACAGAGAGTGAAAGGGGCCACCTTTCTGGAGGAGTCAGCCTAAGCGAGGAAGAAGTTAAAGGGAAGATGGGCTAGGTAAGATGGAGCCAGCTGAGCAGAGGCCTTCAAAGGCATTCTGAGATTTCAGTCTTAATCTGATAGACAGTAGAAGTCTTAACAGATCAAGAAAGTTTTCCTGGAGAGGATATTCTAGACTCAAATGGAGGAAAGGAAGGGGAAACATGTGTCCCCATAAACTGATACCACAGTGGAGAATAGCACAGGTCCAAGGCCACCAGAAAATTCTCTGTATAGTCCTGTTGTGTACCCATACCCATTCCCAGCGAGCTCATCGTAAGGAACGGTGTCAGCTCCTGGGAACCTTATTTCCATGACAGTCTGTCTTCTCTTCCTTTCTAGGACCCAAGTGACATAACAAGCAGGTAGGTGCTGCTTGCTTTATTTTTTTAACCACTTAGGTGTTCCTTTGTCTTTTCTTTCTATCACCAAAACTTATTGAAATTTGGTAAGGGCTGAAAGGGGTTATTTGGAAGAAGAGAGGTTCTTCTAGAAAGTGTAATATGAAAGGTATTCCATAGAACATCCTAGGAAAATTATTGTCTTGGAACTTAGGATGGTAAGAGGATAGGGAGAATTGAAATGGGAGGAGATTATGGCAGAGTATTTGAAAAAGTTTAAAATACACATTTGTTTCTAAGACCCAGTGTCCTTTTGTTCTTTTTATTCCTGTTTGGTTCCCAGCCACCTCTCCTGGCTGCACTTCCCTCACATTTTGTAAAGCACATTTCTTCAAGTTGTCATCCATGCTTGTTAGTGATGGTTTCCTGCTGTCTGCTGGATCATAAGAAGAAGATACTTATATGAATCACAGAAATAATGGTTTCTTTGACAGTGGTTCTCAATGTGTTAGGCATTAAACACTGACAGTTTTCAAAAACCATACCCATAATGATATGCAGAAGCTTTGAACAGAGATAAAAGCCAAATATTTTGAGAATACACAGTTCATCCCAGAGACACCCAGGACTGTTGGCATAATCTGAGCATTTACCATGGACCAGTTACCAGGTGGGGAAAGGAGATAGGATGCCAGATTCTGGCTGGGGAGACCAGACAGAGACAATCGGAGATGAGTGATTATATAAGAAAGGAGAGTGATACAGAATGTGTAAGACTTCTTGCCCTAGAATATTTTGCCTGATATCAGTAGTTATTCTAGTTTTCTTTTGATAGTGTTTGCATACTATTGAACTTTGTATTCTTTAACTCTCAACCTATCTGGGCTGTTATTTTTATGTATCTCTTATAAGCAACATACAATTTTGTTTTCTTTTAAAATAAATTCATCTGACATATTTTAATTGGATATTTAGTATTTATAGCTCCTGGAAATCACTTTCATTTATATTTTAAAAAGTATTTGCAGTGTTTGACAAATAACATCCTTACATTTTATTGTTTATATCTGAAATGTTTTGTTTATATCTATTTTTGCCTTCTCTACTTGCCTTTCTCTTTTTTCTCTTTTTAATATTTTATAATATTGTGTGTATATATTTATGAGCCTTGTTTTTGAAATATGCTATAATTTCTAGTCCATAGTATTTTTCATTGTTTTCTAGATATTTAAAATTTTTAAATTTCATTTGCTATTTAATATAAGATTTGTTTAAAAAAGAGGACATCTGTCAATGGTGCTGTGTTTTTTTTCTAACAGTTTTATGTTTCATAGTTTTTATATTTTGTGATCAGACAAGTGTGTTGCCATTTCTACTATTTTGGACTTTATCGAAGCTTTTTGTATTGTGTATTTTAAATTTTTGGACAGTTGAATGCACTTGAAAATAAGGTATATTCTTTGTGTTCTTGGAATAGGATTGATATATCTCCATGAGGTTTTCCTTAGTAATTTTGTTATTTAAGTATTTTGTATTGATATACTTAAGAGGGCCCAGATAGCTCAGTCGGTAGGTCAAACATCAGACTTTTAATCTGTTTAAGTCCCTGGTCAGGCATAGCTCTAGGTTTTGGGGATTCCCTGGTGGCTCAGTAGTAAAAAAAATCTCCCGCAGGTTGATCCCTGGGTCAGAAAGATGCCCTGGAAAAGGGAGTGGCAACCCACTCCAGTATTCTTGCCTGGAGAATCCCATGGTCAGAGGAGCCTGGCAGGTTGCGGTCTATGGGGTCTCAATAGTCAGACAAGACTCAGCAACTAAACCACCATAAATGACATGTTGGTGGATAGAGAATCCTTGGGTCATGGCCCTTTCTTCAGATCTCTATATTCTTCTCTCTGATTCTGATGTCGAAACCAGCCACTTGGAAAAGCCTCTTTGGTCCATTATTGGTATTTGTTCACATGTGTATACTCTGACGGTGGGAAACCATGCCTTTCTCTCAGGAGTACTTACTCTGACTTCATTATCTCTAGATACCCCCGGAAGAAGTTCTGGATTGAAAAGCCTATCAGTCCTGCAATCAGAAAACAGATGGAAGAATTTTCAGATAAACTTCTTTGTTTAGAGAAAGGACTCAGGATTCCATGGTAAAGGAGGGAGTTCTGGGCCTAGAAAACCTTCTTTCTTTCTCTGTAATGTTTCTTTAAGTTTTGATCATGGCCGCACCTTCTCAGAGTTCCTGGCTCTTGTGCATGTCATTCACACCAGGCAGGGACACTGGGGAGGAAATTTAAGTCCAGACCATGGAGGCTTCCATGGGATGGTCTAAGACTGTTCCATAATGTAGAATCATAGTTAAGAGGTCTCAGAGTTGGTAGAAATATATTTCATATCTAACAGTGAGGTAAAAGAAGATTGGGAGGCTATGGAAAACAGTATGGCATTTCCACAAAATTTTAAACACATAATTACCATATGATCTAGCATCCCCACTTCCCAAAGAATTAAAAGCAAGGCCTCAAAGAGATATTTGGACTCTCATGTTCATAGCAACATTATTCACAATGGACAGGAAGTATAAGCAACCCAAATGTTCATCACTGGATGAATGGAGAAATGGAATGTGGCATATGCAGACAATTGAATACTATCCAGCCTAAAAAAGGAAGGAAACTGTGACACATACTCTAACATGGATGAACCTCAAGGACAATATGCTAAATGAAATGAGCCAGTCACAAAGAGACAAGTACTGTGTGATTCCATGTATATGAGGTCTCTAAAGCAGTCAAATCCATAGGAACAGAAAGTAGATTAGTGGTTTCCAGGTTAGAGAGGAGGGGGAAATGAGGAGCTGTTGTTTAATAAGTATAGAGTTTAAGTTTTAAAAAAATGGAAAAGTTCTGGAAATTGATTGCACAACAATTTAGATATATTTAACATTAATAAACTATACACTTAAAAATGGTAAAGACAGTAAATGTTATGTGTTTTAACCACAATTGAAAATAAAATTAAAGAATAGTGAGAGAATGACTCTAAAGAGGTGTCTTTGAGAGTGGAGAGAAATGGTGTGGTTTAGGACTAGAAGTTTAGGACTCAGTTTAAAAATGGGTAGTATGCCCAAAGGTACTCTTTAATGAAGCACCAGGTGGGTTCAGCACGTGTTGTCATGGATATTCACATGAACCTGTTTAGACTGGACAGCTGTGGGTGTCTCCTGAATTAATTCCTCTGTTTCACTTGAACTTTCATGATCCCCTATTAACTGTTAAAGTTATATGAGATACCGTAAGAGAGTCTGACCGAGAAGCTCTGGTGTCAGAGCCACTTACTGTCAAGAATTCCCTGGTGGTCCAGTGGGTAGGACTCCGTGCTTTCACTGCCCTCAGCCTGAGTTCAATCCCTGGTCTTCCCGGAAGCCGAGCAGTGTGGCTAAAGGGGGAAAAAAAAAAAACAAGAAAGAATTGCTCACTGTCCTTTTGTTCTTTTACTCTAGGAAAATTGACGAGGGAGCTGCAATATAAGACAAGTGAGTATCTGGAGGGGATAGTGGCTGAAGTTTACAAATTACCACTTTCCTGTGAAGCTCTTATTACTTATGGGTCAGCCCGTTTGTTTTAACGAGGAAGGTCTTCATGTGACTAACGTATACAAATTCTTTATCCTGAGTTCAGAACCATAAACCGTTCCCCAGATTTGCTCAGCTGTAGTGATCCCAGTTCTTATCTTTTTTTCCTCTCCAGTCTCTTCGCACTGCCTGAGGCCTTAAATTTTCTGTGTTCTTTATACTCTTTAGATATGGTTGCTAATAGTCTGAACATAAGATCAAAGCAGTCTTTGTCCTGGCCCCCTGAGGAGTCTCCCACCATTGTCACAAAGGCCCCAGAACCTATGGGACAAATCTCATTTGGTATCTTTTCTAATGCCACACCTTTGTCTCCTTGTCCCCACAGTGAGGATCATCCTGGATTCCCAGACAGCCAATGGCTACCTCTCAGTGTCTCCAAATGGGAAGAGTATGATGTTCACTGGCTTGTGGATGAACAAATGCCAGCGTGGTCAGCGATTTGATCCGGAGCCCGGGGTGCTGGGCAGTAAGGGCTTCACATGGGGCAAAGTGTACTGGGAAGTGAAAGTGGACAGGATCTGCTGGGAAGCAGAGGAGGAAGAAGAAGCAATGAGATACAGGGCTGGAAGCAGAGGTGTGTTCGGCAGTAGAGATCTTGGTGGATTTATAGGATTCACTGGTGGTTATCATTCTCCTGCATATAGAGAGAAGAATGAGGAGTTGGAGGGGGAATGGTCTCAGGAAAATGGAATATGGCCAAAATTCTGCCTGCTGGGGGTGGCAAGAGAGTCAGTGGTGAGAAGGGGATTTCTCAACTTCACCCCTGAGGAGGGGTTCTGGACTCTGCAGCTGTCCTCAGCTGGGGTGTCTATATGCACCAGTCCTGAGCCCTTCCAGATTCTGTCCTACTGCCCCCGGCAGATTGGAGTTGCTCTGGATCATGATGGTGGGAAGGTAACCTTTACCAATGCCAGAACTCAAGAGTTCATCTATGAATACTCATCTGCCTTCACTGGGAGAATTTTCCCTTTCCTGTGGCTTAACTGCACGGGATCCAGACTTACGCTGAGATCCTGAGAGAAGACCTCCTGGTTTTTTCATTTATCCTTTGTTACTTTTCCTCATTCCCAGCTCTCTGCCTCAGCCGGATGGTCCTGCTGGGTTTCTGAAAGCACTCAGATGACAAGCATAATGGCAGTCATGAGTCTCTTGTCCTCGCTGCTTTGTCTCTGAAATGGGGACAGTAATAGTTGATCTTTCTCTAAGGGGAATGGTTGGAATGTCTTTACTGTGTTTATTAAAATGTGTGTTAACTGATTTAGCTCCTCTGTTGCCTTTGATTTGGTTCTTCACCTGCCACTGAGACAAACGTATGAGAACGAGTGACTATTACAGAATCTCGGCTCCTGCAACAAATAGTAATTGGTGACAACATCCATATTGATTTCTGAAGCACCTTTTCTGCCCCATAATTTCTCCTGCCATCCTTCTAAGCAGTTGTTGTTCCGTTGCTTAGTTGTGTCTGACTTTTTGCATCTCCATGGAGTGCAGCACGCAGGCCTCCCTGTCCTTCACCATGCCCCGGAGTTTGCTCAAACTCATATCCATTGAGCCAATGATGCCATCCAACCATCTCATCCTCTGTCACCCCTTTCTCCTTCTGCCCTCAATCTTTGGCAACATCAGCATCTTCCAAATCATCTAAGCAGCTGAGGAAATGGTAAATATTTGGCAGCTCATAACTGTTTAACCTTTGATATACTGTAAGTTTTGAGATACTTGGTGTAAGAATTCCTTCATTTGTCTGCCATGTTCTGATAATTTTTGCAATGGGAA